CCAAGGGGCAGATCTGGTCCCCGCTAGCAGGGTGTGGTTGGGTAAGACTCACCGAGTCTATTGATTGTAGTAGAGTCATTCTCCTACCCCCCTCACTCACACATCACTATCTCAATATCCAATTAAGAATAACCCTGGGAATAGATACAGGAATTTTTTTCTCTTTCCACAGATGAACAAGGATAAAGGAATCTCTACTTTGGTTAAGAACATTACGCAATGTGACTGAGCATCACATATAAGTTAGATGCCCTTGAGTCAAAGGAACAACGGTTTCCCTGTGCAACTGATGGGCAGAGGCATTGTGGATACTTCCCTGAGATACACAGGCGTGGGTGCCTCCCGCTTACGGGAGGTTTCTTTACAGTAATCCTTTTGATTGACAGTATCTGGCTCTTTAGATTTTCCCTTAGGAGAGTCACACAAAACCAATCTAGTTGGTAAACAGCTGTGAGCAGCAGGTTTGAGAGTCCCGTTGTATCTGCTTGGAATTACTTGTAGATCATGGTTTCATGATGGCACCTGAACAGTCATCCACTGCTGATAATCTGTAGGCATCTGAATTATCTAAGACACCTTGCTAGGTGTGGCTGGGGTGGCTTCTAAGTAGAAGAGGCCAATCCCATCCTGACTCATGACCTCAGCCAAATCCTACCTTAAGTTTTCTGTAACAAGATGTTCCAGTCCCCTCTGAAGGAAGCGTTTCCCCGAGAATTCTGACCTGGAACTGGGGACGCAAGTAGAACTGGTCATGGGGTGTCTGGGTGTGAGTCACCTACTCTTTCCTGCCCAAAACTGGATAGGGCGGGCCTTGTGCTTCAGGCCTGTCATCCCCACTATTCTGGAAGGTGGAGACAGCAGAGGTTCATGTTCAAGACCTGCCTGGGCTACAGATTGAAATCCAGTTTCAAAATAAGATGTAAAAAAAAAAAAAAAGGCTGGGGATACTGTTCAGTGGTGGAGCGCTGTGGAACAATCTCTGTGTACAATATGAGTATGTTTTGCTCTCACTGGTTAATAAAGAGCTGATTTGCTGACAGCCGGGCAGGATAAGAAGGGAAAAGACTCTGGGATTGGGAGGAGGTGCAGAGAGAAAGAACATGAATATGCTGAAGGAAGGTACTGCCTCATGGCAGAGGGTAGATAAGAAATATGGGTTAATTTGAGTTGTAGGAGCAAGTCAGCAGCAATCACAAGCTATTGGCCGAGCTTTTATAGTATAAGTCTCTGTGTAGTTATTTGGGAACAGCTGGCAGGACAGAGCTGATCCAGTCCTGATTAAAAGATCTGCCTACAAATAGCACCCAACATGAGGCCGCAATTTCCACATAGGGCCTGAGAAAGCTAAAACAAACAAACAATATTACCCCCCCCCCCCGCCGAAGAATACCTGCTTCAGTGTGGCACCAGCATCCCAGAGCTATCCCAGAGCTGGGGGATTGTATTCAGTTCCTGGTTAATAAATGTGGCTCTCAGCAAGACCCTCAGGGTGTAGAGCTCTTCTCTCACAGACGGCAGAGAAGGGTAGAGCCGGACACCAAAGCTGAGGTGGAGGCCCTAGCCATGCTGCCTAGCAGTTTAAAGGCTCATGTAGTCAGAAAAGGATAGACATATGAAGTAAAGACAGGTTCAGATAAAAAATAGCAAAAAAAATCTAAACAGACTACAATGTGTTTATCAATGGCATAAGCTTGAGAAAGAAAACAAAATGGGTATAGACAGTCATAGAAAGAAATAGTTTAAAAGTAATAAAGTCTTTAAAAAGAGAGTAAAAGTAATATGAAAAGAAAAAGCCACACAAGATGGGGAAATACACAAGGAGTCTGGATTTTGTATGTTATTGTGCTGTCTTTGAGTTTTTTGATTACTGATGATTGAGTGACAATTGCTAACACACCTTGGATTATGAAATGAAGGCTGCTGAATTAAACCAACTCACATATTTTAAAAATGTCTTGACTTCAAAATGGAAATCAAAAGATATCTTGTTTTGGAGAAGAGGTAATACTTTTGTTCCCACAGAAAATGAAAGACTGGATTCATTCCAGTTTGAGATGGTTCAGGTTTGATTAAGGAAAACCCCCTGAAAATCCTGACTACAGATATAAAGAAATAAACCTAGAAAACTACAAAACACACCACATATATTTTACCTACTCAAACATAAAACAAAAGGTCATCTATGGCTAACTTGTGTACAACACACAATCTGTACTTTGTATTGATACAAAACACGTATGTTACCTTTAAAAGTTCATGCATTTCAGGACAAGGAGACAAGGCAGTAATAAAAATGGATGGCCCAGGTGATCCACATCTCAAAAAGCCTGTGTTATAGTCTCCTCAGAATTTTGCATCCAAAACAGCCTCAAAGCTTCTGGCTGAGATGGTCCAGCCTTACAGATTACTCCAGCCAAGACCTGACAATTATTCTAATTTTCTCAAGGTTTCCTCACAGATGCCAGTGCCCCCAGACAATAGGAAGTAGTCTAGAGATTGATGTACACAGCCCCCAGAGATAGGGTATGAGTGGGTTTTGGTTATTCAAAGGATTATAAATGTTTGTCATTGTTTAGGGGGGTTGGTTATAAGTTGTTATTGGTCATAGTCAGAAAAAAAGCTAAACAAAATAGTTAAATTCAAAGATCTTTCTAAAAGAATGAAGGGGGATGTGATTGAGAAACGGTGAAATGAAAGAGTAGGTTATTGACTCTACTTTAATAAAAAATAACCATTAATCTCAAAGTATTTTTTTTGTTGTTTTGTTTTTTTTGAGACAGGGTTTCTCTGTGGCTTTGGAGGCTGTCCTGGAACTAGCTCTTGTAGACAGGCTGGTCTTGAACTCACAGAGATCCAAATGCCTCTGCCTCCTGAGTGCTGGGATTAAAGGTGTGTGCCACTACCACCCTGCAATCTCAAAATATGTTACACTGGTATGGGTTTTGGTTTGTTATCATAAGTTTAAAGTTAATTTTTTGTATTGTATGTATGTTTCTACTCTTGTTTTGAGTATTGTATTTATGCAGCTCATTTATAAATATAATGTATAATTAAGAAACTTGGACTAATAGTCATCTACAAGTCAAGCTTATCGTCATGTTAGGTATGTTTCCAAGGTTAAACAGATATATTTAGAGAGATAGATGGTCTTCAAACACTTCAAAGGCCTACAGAATAGGTCATTTAATATGTTTAATAACCTAAGACTTTTCATGACAGTGAGACACATTTGCTCCTGGCAGCACCGATTTACTTCAAAAGAAGATGATGGGCATCAAATAACCCTGATACAAAGTTTGCTTTCTTTCTTTTTTTGTTTAAGATTTATTTATTTGTTATGTATACAGTGTTCTGTCTGCATGTATGCTTGCAGGCCAGAAGAGGGCACCAGATTTCATTACAGATGGTTGTGAGCCACCATGTGGTTGCTGGGAATTGAACTCAGGACCTCTGGAAGAGCAGTCAGCTCTCTTAACCTCTGAGCCATCTCCCCAGCCCCTGGAGTTTGCTTTCTTTGTGGCAAAAGCTAGCCACTGGGCAAAGAAACTGCCCTTGCTTCAACTGCTGACAGTATGCTGTTCAAATTGAACAAACAGAACAAAAAAAAAGTGACTGCTAAGCTTTGCCAAGACAAGGACAGTCCTTCAAAATTCTTTCTTCTCAGAAAAAGTCTGTCAGATACTTTGACATACTAGGCTTGTATGTCAAAGATGGGTGCCCCAACATTGCAGAGGAAACTTGGGAGTCTGTCCAGGTGGCCATTTGTTCTCTGTTATTTCTTAGTTTTGGAAGTTGTTTGCTCTGCACTTCCTGTTTACACAGATAATATCATATCCTTCTCAGGGCTCTGACAGAGTTGAAAACTAGTTAGTTATAGTTTTCTTTGTTACCAAATTCAGAAAAGCAACACACAACAAAGGTATAAAATATAAAATGTTGAGCCGGGTGGTGGTGGCGCACGCCTTTAATCCCAGCACTCGGGAGGCAGAGGCAGGTGGATCTCTGTGAGTTCGAGGCCAGGCTGGACCGATAGCCTCCAAAACAATACAGAGAAACCCTGTCTCATAAAAACCAAAAAAATATATATATATAATGTTGAAAGACAAAAAGGATAGTTTGGTGTTGGTAATACAAGTTAGGATGAAAAGTGAATAAGGTGCAAAACTTTGGATTCATCAAGATAGGATGGATAATGTAGTATTTTCTCTGAACTTGCCAAATACAATGGACTGGATATTGTAACTGTAATTCTTAGGTGACAGCTGTTTTTGGTATATATAGTTTTACTAGGTTAAAGTTAAAACTTTCCTTTGTAATTTAGACAAAAAGGGGGAAATGCTGCGGAACAATCTTTTGTACAATATGACTATGTAGTATTCTCGTTGGTTAATAATGAGATGACTTGCTGATAGCTAGGCAGGGTTTTTTGGGGCAGAGGAAGGCTGGGAAGAAGGGCAGAGTTTCTGAGGTTGGGAGGAGATACAGAGAGAGGCAAGATGAACTTGTCATGTTGAAAGAAGGTATCACCATATAATAAATGGTAAATAAGAGATATGGGCTAATTTAAAATGTAAGAGCAAGTAGGTAATAAGCCTGAGCTATGGGCTGAGCGCTTATAATTAGGTCTCTTGTTGGTTATTTGAGAGCTGGATGACAGGACAGGAAAGAACCTACACACCATGCCTCTTACCAGCTCTCTGCACGGTCTTCTTCGGGCCCACTGATCTGCCCCCAAGACCAATTTGGATTTGCTTGGGTAAAGCAATGTTTTGTTGTAAAAATACAGCTTCTAAATAGCTTCAGGGAGACTCCTTCTCCCCTGAAAACGAACCACGAACTCCTGATAAAACAGTCATGATCCTGAGCTGGATACGGAGGCTGAGGCAGGAGAATCATGAATTTGAGGCCAGCCCGGGAGATGTAGAGAAGCCCTGTTGCCCAAAACACTCAAACCCCACCCCCCACTCAAGTAAATGAGAAAAACACATTTCATGCTTGGATAAACTGCATTTTGTCACAAAGTTTATGGCCCATGACGCGGATTTCAATCAGTTCTGAATTTGTAGATTTATCTCACAAGGTGTCCTGCCAAGGTGACCTCATAACAGGTTTGTAAGCAAGGATGTGGACTTGCAGAGTATGCTCATTTGTTCTGTGAGAAGCTTTTCGGAGGAGGCTTTAACATGCTATGCTGGCTGCGTACAACTTGAGTCCATCTGAAATGAACTAAAAGCCAAGTGGTTGAATATACTTGTGCCGGTTTTTTTTATTAAATTATTCAAAGTGGGAAGTGTTGTGACAAAGCACAAGGGGAATCTTGGCGGATTCCACGGCAGGCGAGGGTGACCAAGGCAGGGGACACACACGCCAGGCAGACGGAGCTTAGTGAGAAGTTTTATTAGAAAGGGAGGGAAGGGGGAAGGAAAGAAAAAAGAGGTAAAGAGACACAGAGACAGAGAGAGGACAGAAGAGGGAGACAGGAAAAGATTTGTCTGACCCAGGGAGAACAGCGGGAAAGAGAGAGGGTAAGAGGAGGAAAGAGAGCATAAGTGGACGGGTGGTTTTCTTTTAAAGGGGTCCTTTGCACCTGGGCTGACCAGGGTACTGCCTGAGTATATTCTGACAGGTGATGGGGGCAGGCCAGCATAATGCCTGAATCCTTACTTTTAATCCCACTTTTAATCCGGATTGTTTGAAGAGGGAAGACCCAGCTTTAATTCAGATCTATTGAGGTGGAAAGATCGCCTTCAAATGCCCTCTGCTGGTGTCCTGCTTGCTCCCTTTGCCTGCTTGTTCTTGCTTTTGCTGGCGAGTCCATCCCTTCACTGGCATTAGGGACTAGTTCTTCAGGCTTCCAGTGTGCATCAAAGACCAGCTGAGACAACCAGCCTCGTGGACTGAATGGCTACTGGATTCTTGGACCTTCCATTGGACTATCTAACCCACAGCCTATAAGCTCTTCTGATAAATCCTATATGTGTTTATTTCCATTCTATCAGTTATGTTCCACTAGAGAGCTCTGACTAACACACATGGGTACATCAAGCTCAGAATAAGAGCATATTTACCTGTATGGTTGGAGAAGGCATTCCTTTCAGTTAAAATAACTTAAGTTAGTATGATTAACAAAATATCGACACTGCGCTTAAAACACTGTGGTATCAGATATTCAGTGAACTTACGCTGTTTTCATTCCTGTAGTATCCAGCATCCTTTGGGGACCTTCATGGGTTCCTATATACATGTGTTATACATAAACTCATGCAGTCAAGTACACACACACACACACACACACACACACATACATACACACACAGCCCTAATATAAATTTTAAAAAGTTTAAGCCATTGGTGTTGGATGCTCTCCTTTATCCCAGCCCTCAGGAGGCAGAGGCAGGAGAATCTCTGTGCATTTGAAGCCTGCTTGGTCTACACAGTAAGTTCCAGGTTGGTCAGGGTTACATAGTGAAACCATGTCTCAATCAAACCAAACCAAACCAAGCTGCTGATATGGGTGTGGGGCATAAGAGTCACCACTAGAACCAGGCCTGGTAGAAAACAAGGCGCAAAATCTTGCAGGTAGAGTGACTGCGCATTCCATTTAAGCAAAGCAATGGAAGCAATTGTTCTTTTTGGCATGCTTCTAGAGAAAATAACTAAAAGACATGTGATGCTGGAATCATAAAATTATGCACCTACTAGGATTTACTAAGTTAAAAATGCCTAATCATAAATTGAAAATTAAAATTAATACTCTGTACTTACCTAAATATCTAATATTTTTACATTAAACAGATACCCTGAATTCACCTCAATAATTAACTGTCTATTCTGACACATTTGCATGCACATAGGGGCATTATTTAATATAATTTTTGATAATTATCATTTGAGCTAATCTAACAATGTTTATATCTAGCTCTGCAAATGCTTTTGAATTGGGCTGAAAAGTCCAATCTCTTTCAACATTATTATTCAACATTAACAAAACCTAAGTGAACAACTTTCACAGTAATGAATAGCAGAAAAAAGTACTGTACAAAACAATCCATTTAGATAAGACACTTGAAGCCAGGCATGAAGGCTCATGGTAAGTTTCTGGAAGCTTGGGGTTTAATTTTTTTAATTATTATTTTTAAAGGCATTTGACCATTCTTAGTATTAAGAGTTAAGTAAACTTGACAAGTCTTGCTGTCTTAGCCACTCATTACAAACTACTGTGCCCATCGCTGGGGTTCTGCTTGACACTGATTGAGAAAACAGTGCTCTGAACGCAATCAGAAGCAAGGACGCGCATTGTGACTACAAATCAAAGCTGTACCTGTCCAAGCACATCCTACAGGCCACATGGGGCCAGCAGGCACCGGGGTGCTCTCTTCCCTGGACTGAGCACTCCAAACAGTCATAGTTTCTCAGCTTTCCACAGTGTAAGATGAGCAGTGAAGAGGGGCAGAAAGGCCGGGAATCGCAGTTCTTGTAAGACGCATTTGCATAAGGCAACTAGGGTGAGTGGTTCCAAATAGAATCTCTGCTAGCCCCTTTCCTAGCTCCTTTCCGGGACTGAGCCAGGCCTCCTCACGAGTTACCCTGACTGAAAGGAGCTGTCTCAGGATCGGTCCTCTTGGGGGACAGCCAACATGCAATGATGTAATAATAGCAGGACAGAATTTCTGGACCCCTGCTGCTTGGCTCAGACATGCCCGGCAAGCCTTCTGTTGAGGATAAGGGGAGCGCCTGAGCTCGCACATCGCAGCTCAGCATGCCCCTCTGTGTGATCGTCAGTGACTCGCTCAAGTTTCCTTGGCTTCTGTCAGCAGTTAATCCCAATAAGCCACCTAGTGGGGGGTCCGCTTGCTACAGCGATGCAGAATAAAAATTACAAGGCACTTCTTACTTTGAATATCCAATGCTCACATACAAATGTGAAAATCTAGAGTACTTTAGATATTGTTTTTATCCCAAAGATTATGCGAAGTACGAAGTGATGGCAAACACTGACAAGATAACGGAAAACATTATATATTATTTGTTTTATTAAGTTGTTTTATTTTTACCCCTGTGACTTTCAGTCATTTAATATATGATTTTATAGACTTAATTCACATTATTTTATGACTATTTGACTTCCAAAAATCAAACGAAAAATTTATGGGGATTTTGCAAACCCTTGTTTTGTGTTATCTTTGTCCTTTCATCTCCAAACCCTGATGCGCTTTTGTAGTTTAAAAACAAATATCATGACCTTGTATGTGCATGTTGCGTGTGTGGGGTGGGGTAAGGTTAGAAGACAGCTTAGGGGAGCCCTTCCGTCTTGTCTGGGTTCCTTCAGGCTGGAGTCTTTACCCGCTTAAACCCCTTGCCCTCAGGCACTTCCAAAGAATAGGAAATTGAAACCCACACCTTCTTATGCCTGGGCAATTACGCCCGGATTTCTACCTCACGATGGGGCTGACTTCTCTTCTGTCACAGTAGCTTGGCTTTAACGCATCCTGATCTATGATTCAGAAAAAGACAAGATGGCTAGAGGGCGCTGCGCGGTTCCTGACACTGCAGCAACCCTGACCGTGAGGTCTGTGAGTGGGGTTTCCACTCAAGCCAAAGCTGAGGGACCCTGCTTCACACACACACACACACACACACACACACACACACACACACACACACACACACACAACAGAGCAGTGTGTGCAAACAGGGATCCCTTTACCTACAAAGAGCCAGACACCAAATAGAATGGTCCTAACACGCCCTCTACTGGGCTCCGAGAGCAGCAGTAAGACCTGGTGTTTCGCGGACGCTCCGTAAACTGCTTGCTGTGCGTTTTCTCACTTCGGTGCTTTTTTTTTTGCCTGCTGAGGGTGTTGGGTTCCGGTTTTGTTGTCTGAGCCAAAGTCTTTCCAGTGTTGTGTAGCTACTCCTTCACGGCCTATGCAGTCCTGCAGCAGCGGTTGCCTTGGAGACCAATTCACAGCCACTGAAATGAAGTAAGCAAAGCAGAACAGCAGTAGCCAGGCCTAGGCAGCAGAGGGCGTTAACTAACTTTCCCCAGCAGGAGCGGGGGCGGGCACAGGACCCTTGTCTGAAATTCTGGCCATTACTGGCTCCCGCCTCGCAGCTGCATGAAGTCTTGGGGGTTACAGGAGCCCTGGAAAGTAGAAAGTTACTGAGGATGCAACTCCCGTCATGTGGCAACTGCGTGTCCTCACCAACACTGTGTTCAGTGATGTAGCTGCTCTCACCGCTGCTTCCATACCCCCTACCCCGCCCCAACTCACGGGGTCACCGAGGCAGACATAGGGTAATTTCTCTGTTCTGTTAGTGCGCTATCTGGGGAGAGTGGATATTTCCTCATTTCTCCCCAGGAAAAGTTGCTTCAAATATTAGCCCCAACTCATAATCCTGTCTCAAATGCTGACTGCTTTAATCATTTTGTTTTTACGTTTGTCTCGACATAAGAGTAGAGGGGACTAAGTTTGGATTCATGGTTGAAATTGTTCTGTGGGAACCATTTGGGTATCCATACCACACAGACGAGTCTGCATTTACACACTTGTTAGGAATGAAGGGCCCTGACTGCAATTCTCAAACTCTTCGTCGTTGAGTACTAATATGCAATTACAACAGGAAACACATAATGAAGAAAGATCACTTCCTTCCGAGACACTTTAAACCTATCATTTCACCATCTTAAGGGCACAGTTTTCCATAGGAAACAACTCATGAGAAAGTTTCCGTGTAGATCCATACAATTCTACAATAAGATAAGAGGTGGTCTGGGGATATTCCAGGCATCTGTCACACATTTCCATCCAGGGCCCAGCATTGGAGTGTGATGGATGTTTCAGAAGTCTAAAAATGCTGTAAAAATTACAGCCATCATTGTCACCAGCCACATGTGTATCGTCCATATTTATCACGAGAATTTTCCCTCCTGATGTTTGTAACTTTCTCAGCAACCAGTGTCTGACTCACAAGATTCCTGGCTCCCTGCAGTCGAGAGACGCCGTACAGAGGCCTCTGAGAGTCTTAAACTAGTTAGGTCTCATGCTTACTTAGCTAGTACAATCATTCGTAAAACACTGGGAGTTTGAGATGGTGATATTAGAGTAGCCACCAGACCAAAACAGTTAATGTGGTGATCAGTCATTGAATCTAGACACACAGTGACACTCATATTGTCATTAGCTGATCTTTGGAATGTGTCACGGAAGAAAACACTCACTTCCGTAGTTAGATCACCATTACTGTCCATAATACACACTCAGGACAGTTAATCTTGTGTTAATTTTCCCAGGTTAATTCCTCTTTTACAGCAAAAATAATCTGCTCTCTGAGAAGGTAACTGAGGGCTGGAGAGATGGAGCAGCAGCTAAGAGCACTTACTACTCAGTCATGAAGACCACAGTTCAGATTCCAGCAACCATGTGACCTGCCTGGCAGCTTGTGAAAGCTTTAATCCAACTCTGCTGTGTCCAGTGCCCTCTTACTTAAAACTTAAGCTGGGTGCTTCTCCAGTTATGTGTCTAGGAACCTTTTTGTTCAGCAGATACACACACCTCCAATAAATTCTTTCTTTTTTTTAAAGAAATAATCAAACCCTTGAACATTACAGACATTAACTTTAGTTCACTGAAGTATTATTAAGAAAACATGCAATTTCACCCATGACACCTGAACAGCACAAATATATAATACATCCCAGGATGTTAAGTTCTTAGGTGCCTCTTTGGTGACAGGGTGGGGAGCCTCTGGCCTCAGCTCACCAAAATCCTTGGACACTGGTCCCTTCCCATCATTGGCCCTGGCTTCTTCACGTCACGAAGGTCCTTCATGATGGTGTAATATCTCCCCACCTAGCAGCTATGACGTTGACTAATGTATTCAGGTAGTTTGTAGTTATAGTGATCTCACTACTATAGTCACCTTATAGTTCTAAAACAAAAAAGGAATAGAATATTTGCAAATAACTTATAGCCTCCAATAATACCTCTATGGCTGGAGTTTTCTTTATGATCATTTATTGTCGATCGGTACAGAGGAAAGAAATCTGCAATGAGAACAAGCCTACTTAGTAACATAGTGAGTTTATTTTTTTCTATTCTGGTAAGATGATATGATATAACTAATCTTTGAGCTATAAAAAAAAGCACAATTAAGAATGGGCTGGGGTGTGTGTGGCTCCTTCTGTAAAGCGCTTGCCTTACAAACACAAAGACCTGAGTTCCACTCCACAGACCCATATAAAATGCCAGGCGTGGTGTGGTGCACTTGTAATCACCACCGGAGAGGTGGAAATGGGAGGATCCCTAAGGCTTGTGACCAGTCAGTCTAGCCTAATTGGTGAACTCCAGCCCAATGAGTTAGAGACCCTGTTTTAAAGGGGATGGATAGACTTCCTGGGGATGTCACCAAAGGATTCCTCTGGGCTCCACAGGAACACCACACACACATATTTAAAAAGAAAAACTGAAAACAAAGGAGCTTCATGAAGGGTCAACAAGAGACAGAAACAGACGTCTCTTTGGCACACACTGGCAATTCCAGGAGCATGGCGGCTGGAAAACCGTGAGCGGCCGCTGAGCTGTCTGCCCCAAGGCAGGGGTCAGAAAGACACCACCGGAGACTGCAGGGAAAAGTATCCTATGCCATTACCATGCTGAGAGGCTTCCTTGTGTAGCCCTTTTCCCTGGAAGGACTGTTATCTGCAGGGCTGTTAGCGCAGCCCCGAGGGATAGCATAGCCGATTCAATTGCAGCATGCTGATCACAGAGGCAACATTGGTCCTGTTGTACACACAGTGGTCCCAGGAAATAAACCAACTCCGCCAAAGGACAGGAGGACATGCAAAGATTAAACTCTACTTTTTAAAAAAGATTTGTTTTATTTTAAAATCGTGTCTGTGTGTGCCTATGTCTGAGTAGAGGTACGTGTGCATGCGTCAAGTCTGAGTGAGCATGTCTGTGTAGAAGCATGTGCACATGCATACAGGAGACCATCCGCTTTCCTGGAGCTAAAGTTCAGGGAGTTATGAACGTCCTGATGTGGGTACTGGGGACTAAACTTAGGTCCTTTGCAACAATAATCAGCACCCGGAGTCTCCAGTTGCCAAGAGCAGTGTCTGATACCTTGTCTACTCCAGTGAGGAACTCCTCCTACAAACAGAACACATCCAGACAGGTGTGTTATTCCTAGATCTTGGCAGATTTATTCATCTCACATATTCAGAGGTTTATAGACACCCATAAACAGTGCAAGAGGAAACTTCCATCTTTTAAAGATGTCTTCCAGATCCCCAAATCCAACCAGCACAGAAACTTAGCTAGATAGGCAATTTTAAAATAAAATAAAAGGACCACCTGTGTGGCATCTGTGTTTGAGATCTGAAAGCTTGAGATGAATTCACAAAATGTGTCTTTGAAAAGGGTTTCCTCGGGGCTGGAGAGATGGCTCAGTGGTTAAGAGCTCTGACTGCTCTTCCAGAGAACCTGGGTTCAATCCCCAGCGCCCATATGGCTGCTCACAGCTGTAACTTCAGTTCCAGAGGACCTGACACCCTCACACAGACATACATTCAGACAGAACACCAATGTACATAAAATTAAAAGAAGTATTTGGG